TATATACATACATATAAATTTATATAAATGGCGTGTATAATAATATAGCCGATGTGTGTGCTATATTAAATGTATATATATATATATTACATCCATACCTCTGTGTCCCCGCAACGTGTTCGTGCCACGTTTTAAGCACTGCGAGGGGGATCGTGTAAAATATATTACGCGACTCGTAATGCTCTTTTCAGCGACCGAATAACGGCGGTGGGTTGGCTCCGGCGGAGGGTGAGCTAGTACCTTTTTTTTTGCGGTACACCCTGCGGCGTGCCCGAAGCGTATCCCGCGGTCACGTGAAAATGGCAGATCAACTGCTGTAGGTACCTCGACGACGACGACGGGTAGTTACCGAGAAAAGTTGCCGTTTTTTCATGTACATCATAATATTATATTGTATCGACAACGTATCCATCATGAGACTTATATACACATACGATTGGCTTCAGAGACGCCTGTACGATATCCTATCCTCTCGCATATATATATAGAGGGTAAAAATGTGCTCGACCACGGTTGCATATAGCGTACGGTTTTTATGGTTTGTCAACATAGATCGTACCTAGTGAATATTTGTTTCAAAATTCGATAAACGAGGAATCGAACGTATCGTGCCCCCGAACTCTCGAGACCGATCGAACATATTATAATATACCGATGAGGTACCTAATATAATAATTTCTAATCATAAACCGTCCGACCCAGATGACTTGTGTGCAGTGAGGTAAGATTTATCACGATATTTTTGAACCTAATGTTTCCAAAGCCTGTCGTCAGTCTTTAAATAATAATATGATTCATTCGGATTTTTGTTTACCACGCACCTACATTTGAAATGTCTGGCGCGTCGCGTGAAAAAAAGAAAGACAAAGCCGAATCTAAGCACTTTGTTGTGTTTGGTTTATTTTTAACGAGTTGAATTTAACCGCGACGAGCTGGACTCGAAAACAAGTACCTAGTTAGAATATAGTGTTGGTGGATCACGATGCTCGACGCGATGACAAATATATATTATATTATGGGAATAATTTAAAATTTATAACCACATCACGCGAATAAGTATAGGTAATTGTTTTTTCCGATTGAAATTGATCATTTAAAACCTAACCCGACACATTTTCCCACTCCCAAATCGTTGCCCCATCACGGTGCACTTTTCTCGGTCAAAGTCTTTTTTTGGGATATTTTGTCCGTTAGTCGTTAGACGACGACTGCAGCATACAGCAGCGGCGATTCGACCGATTTAATTATTCTATTGTGACTGCGTTGCGCGAGTTCAAACCTTTATTTCAGCTAACCTACGAGCTTATAATATAAAATATGTATCCATATAATTATGTACGCGCGTTACGTTTACTTAGTGCTAATATTTTTCACCCGTCGTCATTCTCTGCGCTCGCAATCAGTTGTGGTAAAAAAAAAAACCAACTCCCGACGCCCTCGATTTATATAACATAAACAATAACGATGTACGAGAAACGCTCTTACCTAACCAATATAATATTAAAAACAATCGTCTAACGAATGTCTCTAAAGTCTCTCGGTTATTGTAACTCGTCGCATGCCGCAACCGCATTATAATATTATACGCTGACACGACCGAGCGTGGGCGGAGTAAGTTTGTTTTCGCGTGTCCTACACCTTTGTGGATACGTTAATGCACAATATGTACGATGGTCTTCGGTGGTTTTCGAACGTCCGTTTCATTATATCGTAAATTCTACAATCTATTATTTGATTATTACAATAATGGACGCCCCCCGAGTCCAAGACGACGTATTAGTTCGTCATCCGGCTCCTTTCATCGCCGCCGTTGACCATCACAATAACGATTCAATGCCAACGGAAACACGTATGTACTATTATGAATTATGATATATATATATATATAACACCTGGAGCTTTTGTACAATGCGCATTTGGACCGTGTTTCGTGGTGGCCCGAGATCCGAATTAGCATTTTTGTTTTCGTTCTTTTTGTATTTTTTTTTTTGTCTCGTTATTATATATTATTTGGTCGTCGCCATCGCACGCGTCGAGGTCGATAAATCCTCTCGGTGTGTATGCGATATCGATCGAATTGTTAATTATTATTAATTAATTAACGCGTTCGTCATTATTACCCAACGATCGATATATATATATTATATTATATGCACGCGCACGACCGAGTACATCGTCATGATCTATCCAATAAAAGTCACTTTGCCATCGTCGAGGCCTTCGTAGGAGACGTGTCGAAGGGCGGTTTAGGAGTCACTGTTGAATACAATTGGTTTCAATAACGTCCTATATAGAATAATATATATTATATGCTTAAATTTAATGTACATGCTCTTTCGCCAAAAGTGTATACGTTTTGAATGTCAAATGCAATAATAAGCGTACCTACAGGTACGGCGTATAGTATATTATATTATAAAGTATATAGGTGGGTACTATATTATAGGTGGATGTTAACAATGTGAAAACAAACTTTGATGAAAGGGAAAATTTAATTAACTTAGGTCGACACGCACATGCCACATATTAATATCATTGATTTGTTACGTGTGTATTACGTACGAGACTCTAAATGACTCTATCGTATCGCTTTCATACTTATTGAAATCAATATAGTATTATATTTTAGGAGCTCATATATTGTTATCCTTTTGGTCATCCTTCCGCGTAATCATTCAACAAAAACAAATATCATCGGCGATTTAGTGTTAAAATCACCATCTTGGTCTTCCAGCAAAACATTTCGTAAATTATTATAACGTAGGTACATGGCCGGAGCGTGTTCTTCTAAATCCTCAGTTCGTTTCATTTTCGCGTAGATAAAAAATAAATATATGCCGGTGAAGGTAAAGAGACGAACGGTTTTGACCGTTGAAAAACAATAATATTGATTTATCATTAAATTTGTTTGGTTTTCGATTTTTGAATAAACATAAATACACTTGGTATATACTAATACTAATAGTCCTGACTCCTGGCGTATACCTATAGTGTATTTTGGCTCCCAAATGTCAGTGTTTTAATTTAAAAACAACACGACTGCATATAGCCGTGGCTCATCTGAAAAGGATAATCTCTATACGTAAACCGACGGACATAACAATAATAGTATTATAATATTATAAGCTCGTACGAACGACGGAAAAAATAAAAACCGTCGTTTGGGCGGTGTATACTATAATATAATGCAGGAGACGAGCAAAAATCGTTATTGACGGTCGAAGATCATAAATGTTTTTATGTCGACAAAGAATTTAATATGCCGTGAACCGTATAGACTATAGAGTAGGTAACAAAGTATTATAATATAATATCGCACGCATTTCGAATAACCTGCATTGTGTTATTTTATTTTTACGAATCAATTAAAACATTTTAGGAGGACATATTTCATATATTTTTCCAACCATCTAGATTATTCTATATGACGTATGGGTAGTAGATTCTGCACGCGTAAAACTAAAAAGATTAATTCGTGTTATGACTCGAAGCCAATCCCGAGGCCAGTGTACTATGACTTTAATAATACAATTATAGCGACAGGCTTTATTCGACACCTATTGTCGGGAGTCTCCCGAGCACACTCGATCACAGATCTGCCATGATCACGAATTTAGAGGGCTGAAGAGCATGGAACTTCTGCTCTGTAGTTGTACACTTGTACGATCATCGCAGTAATAACTGCAAGGCCGACTATCGCAAACTCCATAGTGTTTTGGGTTTCCGGCACCCGGACCGGTCGGACCATTATTGTGGACGACGCATACTTTAATGTCATAAAGTGTTTTCCGCTCTTCAAATCAAAGTCCGATTGTTTCGCGCGGGCTAGTGAAAGACGCGAGGTTATATAGGCATAACAACAACAATAATACTTGAGTCCTAATAACCCGAGAGATTGAGAACATCGACCGAGACCTCGAAATATCAGCAAAGTCAGACCCGTCGTTGCTCACGAACACCCAACTGATTCGCCATTAAAACTCCGCGATTTTGACCGTTCTATATGTACCTATATACATATAGTACCTACACAATAAGACTATAATAAGCACACCATTCATTGGCGAATTACGAAAATACATTCTACCAACACACCACTATAACACCTGTAGGCTTTAACACAATAGCTATACCCATTAGACTATTTCGAGATCATCATTAGTTTGTCAATACAATTTTATATTTTATATTTTTACATATAGCTGTCGTTTTTATTATACAACGTATCTAAATCGTATATAAAACTGATTCGTCCGTTAAAAAATAAAACTTTGAAACATTTGTATATTATGGTATAGATGCGTAACGAAATCTGCACGCAGTATAGGCAGTACCATTATTACTATAGTTGCTAGCTGCAACTATGTTATATGTTGTTTTGCACATTTTCATCCACCACATGATAACCTTGTCTATCGACGTTTTACTATTTCGTACTCTGCACGTGTTGTAAAACTTTAATTATTTGTGTACCTACGTTTTTGTTACGTAGGTATACTTGAACCTTTTGAACTTGAAAATGTACCTGTATGAAAACGCATATAATAATATATAATTATTGAATTCAAAACGAGAGATAATATTATGGTTTTGTGATTTGGCACAAATGAAAATAACACGCACTTAAAAAAAACGATTGAAAATATCGACAGTGAATCCATTGCGATTTATAATCGATAATTCACGAACACGAACGTATGTCATTGTGGGGATGTGTGGGAAGGGGACGCTTTTATATATTGGAGAAAAGATTTTATATCGTGGTTAGGCATATTTTTCTATTATAAATGTTTGAAAAACCAATAAAAACGAATAGGATGAACAATCTATTTGCACTATGACAAGTCTCTTGTATTTTTGATTTTTGGGGCATGTAATATAGAAGTTAGGCATGACAACTAAAATTTGTGTCATTCGTAGAACGTACTTTTGTGTCTTACGACAAATTCAATATTTTTGGACTCGTCTAACTTGTAAATATTACACGTTTGTTCATACAGATCCTTGCTTCATTAACAGTATCATTATGCTCAATGGTAGTTGGATTCGCGTCCGCCTACACGTCACCCGCCTTACCGTCGATGAACAGACCGGGCAGTCCGCTGTCAGTAACCGAGGAAGAAGTAAGTGCCCATTTTTATCGACGTTTGAAATGTGTTGGTGTGTTACTGATGTATTAATGATTCGTCGGATTTTGATTACAGGGTTCATGGATCGGCAGTCTCATGCCACTGGCAGCACTCATCGGTGGCATGGCCGGCGGGCCCCTTATCGAGTCCATCGGTAGGAAAACCACGATACTCGCTACCGGAATACCTTTTATTATTTGTAAGTAAACACTAATCAATATAGAAAACTTCATTACATTTGACAATCGTTAACATCGATTTCGTAATGAATTTGATATTTAGGTCTAGGCCTATAATACCTACTTATGTTTCTTTGTTAGTATTAACCTACTTTTTGATTTGTGTGCATATTACTAAGCACATCTTAATCTGAGTACTTGTCAATATTAGGACAGTTTTTTTTTGTCGTTTCTGTTTAATACAAGTACTTATAAAACAAATATCTTGTTAACAATACTTTCATCGACTGTAAGTTGTAACAATATTAACGTTTATTTTTTGTTTGCAGCCTTTATTCTGATAGCGATGGCTGTCAACGTGCAAATGGTAATGGCCGGTAGGGCCATAGCCGGATTCTGCGTAGGAGTGGCTTCATTAGGTCTTCCTGTATACTTAGGAGAAACTGTACAACCTCAAGTCAGAGGGACGTTGGGCCTTTTGCCCACCACTCTCGGCAACAGCGGCATTTTGTTGTGCTTCATTGCTGGCAAATACCTTAACTGGCAGATGCTCGCTATCCTCGGCGCTTGTATCCCTATACCGTTCTTAGTGTGCATGTTCCTCATCCCCGAAACACCACAATGGTACATAAGCAGAAGTAAGTCGTATACTAGATGTGATTGTCTCTAAACTGAAATCGTATACTTAAGGACTCGATTTGTTTTATGTGTGCGCGTACAGACAAAAGCAAGAAAGCGAAAAAAGCTCTTCAGTGGCTGAGGGGTAAGGACGCGGATGTAACCCAAGAATTCAGCGAGATCGAAAAAGCTAATCATATGGGAAAAAATGAAGAAATGCCCGGATATCTAAGCTTGTTCTCCAAGATGTACTCGAAACCCTTGCTTATATCTATGGGACTCATGTTGTTCCAACAACTCAGCGGTATCAACGCAGTTATATTTTATACCGTTAAAATCTTTAAGGTATAATATAATATAAATATAATGAAACTCGTATCATTACGAAACATCCTTAACAAAGACCTTTATTTTTCGCATCTAAAAATTTCAATCGGTTTCTTTTTCATTGTTATTATTTAGGAAGCCGGAAGTACCATCGATGAAAACTTATGCACCATCATCGTGGGTATCGTCAATTTCTTGTCCACTTTCATAGCAACCGGTCTCATAGACAAGCTCGGTCGCAAAATCCTTCTGTACGCGTCCAGCGCTACAATGGCGGTCACTCTCATCACTCTCGGAACGTTCTTCAACTACAAAAACAACGGTTACGACGTGTCCCAGTACGGATGGTTGCCATTGGCCAGTTTCGTGTTTTTCATCATAGGATTTGCCATCGGCTTCGGGCCAATTCCGTGGTTGATGATGGGCGAAATTTTGCCCGGTAAATATCATAATTGAAGATAATTAACTTTTCGAAGCACGAATGCTATATTATATTATAACGATCTACTATACTTTCTATACCTACCTAGGATTTAAATTTTTTGGTGAAGGGCTAGGGTTCCTGCCTATTTTTTTAAGATTAAATAAATATGCCTGGATCATATTATAATAAGCCCTTAGGTACTAACAACAACCAATATATTTAATTTTTTTTAATTTTGAACCACATTAAACGTCTGGATAAGTGGATAACTAATAATAAAAAGTCTTTTACTATACTTAAATCAAATTTCCGACAGAACATCCCTAGCCCACACACGCCCAACACCACTAGTTATGTATAATAATCGAATCGGTCAAATCATATTCTATTTTCAGCTAAAATCCGGGGCACGGCTGCTTCGTTGGCGACCGCTTTCAACTGGGCCTGCACGTTCGTGGTTACCAAGACTTTCGCCGACTTGTTGAGGGTCTTCGGCACTGACGGGACCTTTTGGATGTTTGGCGGCATCTGTCTGATGGGATTAGTGTTCATCGTATTCTGCGTGCCCGAGACCCAGGGTAAGAGCCTGGAGGACATCGAACGGAACTTAACCGGTGTAGGCAAAGGCCCGGTCAGACAAGTGAGGAGAATGAGCTCGATAGCGCATCTGAAACCACTGCCGATGGCCATCTAAACGACAGAAAAAATTAATATTTTATTATGTATTAACTATATAAGAAAATCGGCGTATATATATATATATATTTTAATAATAATATTATACATCAATTTTCTTCGGAACATTTACGGCAATTACAAAATATGAAACCCGCAAGCTTTTATTTGGCGCGTATCTCTTTTAATATTTTACAATAATTACGTTTTTATCATTACAACTTTTTAACTACCTATATAATATGTAAATTCGCATTGACCATTTTTAAAACGCGTTAGACTACACTGTTCTAAAGTGTATTATATAATGGTGCTAAAATATTTCAGACAATAATTAACAGAATAAAAACGACTTTTTTTTAAATTTATATAATATTAACTATATATATACATAAAAAAATTACGATTACAACAAGAATACAGACGAAGGCCGTCTAATTGCGTTTCCACATTCCGGAGAATAGGTGAAGTTCCAATTTTTTTATATTAAATTATTATTATTTTTTTTTTTTTTCGTGCTGTGATAGACACAGAACATCCCCTCCCTCCTGCAGTTGTATGATAATGTTCACACCACGTATATAATATTATATATATCTATACATACAGATCAAATACCGATTTTTACGATCGGGTCAATCCCTCCTTACAAACCCTTCGAGTTTTTTTATTTGACTTAAGAATTTAATAGTATGATACGTATATAAAATATATATATATATATATATTATATAATTATAGTTGGGCACTCGTTATTGTACTTACAATTTAATACATTTACATTATTACACTATAATACTTTATATACCTATTATATATGTCGATACGCTTAAGCCACTTTAGGGGGAGGCCTTCAAGTCCATGAAGGTTTGTGTGTGTGTGTGTGTGTGTGTGTCTGTATGTTTAGATTAACGTTTTTAATATTATTATTATTATTATTATTATTATTATTATTATTATTATTATTATTATTATTATTATGTAGGTGTAAAATACGTAATTGTAAACAAACGATGTTTCTAAGTGTTTATATATTTTGTTTTTTTAAACGATTTTTACATTGCAGTATACTTGGTACCTATGTTTTTCCGGTTTTCCGATCCGTTATAGGTAAAACCTACACGTATGATTCCATACAAATTGTGTAATATAACGGACCGCGAAACTGGAAAGGATATAATCATTATAAAATTGTACATAGAGTTACGATTACATTTAAAAAATAATACAATAACTGCGGCAAAAAGACAATTTTATTTTACTAACATCAAAAAAATGTAATAGTCATTTATCCGCTAAAAGCCGCCCCTTCGTGAGTGTGTCAACATTTGATTGATATTCGGAAAACCGATACATTTAAGCGCACCTATGATGCGGGTTGGGCTAAATATTATGTTTATTATCGATACAACTTTTTAAACGACTAGACTGTTTTTTTTTTTAATCTTTTATTGTGATTTGATATGATTATGTTATATAATAATATTAATATTGAAAAGCCTCGCGTAAAAATCGTTTTTTACCAAGTAAATATATTAATAATACAAATACTTACTGAAGTCGACTATAAAATCAGTGTCGCTTTTTTCCAATCAGGCAGGCAAACTTTGTGATTTTATTACTATTATTATTTTTTTTTTTTATTAAAATTAGTTACCAATATATTAAACTATGAATTTTTTTTTTTTGTTAGGACATTATTATTTATTAAAACAATATATAGATTCTCGGATGACATGTTATTTATTTCTAGATTTATTTAAATTATAATATAGATTTATAATTGTGTTTTGAGCTCAAATCACTCTAAAAAAAAAAAAAAGAATGTAGTACATATACCTATATTTATATTGTCAATTAAATGAATAAAACAAAAGCAATAGATATTATTACTATTATTACTACCAGCTGTAAACCTATAGTTAATGAATTAACAACACATTCCATATTGTACGAAATTATTTAGTATTTTATTAAAATATGTATGAAATATTATTTTATTTTATTTTTTATTTTAATTCGATATATATTTCTGTTTTAAACAAAAAACAAAAACATTTTTGTGGCTTAAGTACGTTTTTCGAAGACGTGTTAATTCATTATAATAATATTTATTGTTTAATATAATATACATTTTTAGAGACTTAAACTTTTTTTATGAAACGAACATACGATAAAATATTGTTTTATTTATTTTTGTATTACAAAATTATTTGAATGTTTAGATTGAAAACATTGTTTAATTTATGTGTACAAATAAACATTATTTGTTAAAAATATTCAACCTTTTTTTTTTTTTTTGTCCCATTTTATTAACCTACCTAATAATCTACTCCTGTTGTGGATATCTTGTCATATAGTGTCATGTACTGTTATCTAAACCATAAAGATATCAATGCATAGAATTCTAAATTCTTAAGTGTTTATTAAATAGTTTTGTTATTAGTTAACTGCACAATCGATACCGGTGACTTAATGCTACAAGACATGATATATATTGTGTAATACGGTTATGTGACTGTTCGTTTTTAAAACAATGGTCTAATTTTATCTAAATTGATTTATAATTTTTTAAAAAAATCAGAGAAACATTTTTGTTTTTGTACTGATATCATTCCTTCGCGATAGCGATAAATTTTCGTAACTCGATCCTTTCAAAAGTGTTTTATGGTGCTCTATATTTTTTTTCCTTATAAATTATGTTACACCACTCGCCTTGTTGCGCGTTCCGTATTGAACAAGAAGTGAATATGTATACCTAGGTAGAAATGACGATTTATAGTAATACATTTTGACATTTACAATACATGCCTACGGACACCTTATTTGCCTATAATTTTATGGAAATTGATTTATTGTATTATTGTACATAGACAAACAAAAAAATTCAAAAAAAAATATTCGGACTCATCGCAGCATTTTAAATATTTTTTAAATCTCATTTCTTCCCGTTTTACAATAATACGCAATTTTTGTTTCTATGCGACCTGGAAATATTTTTCAAGGTTAACCGTTCCCACTATATGTAACTACCAAACCTACAAAAATCATTAAAACATTTTTTTATTATATGACGACGTTGGAACACCAAAAGAATACATTTATTTTGGTTTGTGTTATTATAATTACAAATACAATAATATTCGTATAATATTGTGTACATTATACAAGGGCGCTGTTTAATATTCATAATTTACTTACACTCTATGTACACACAACACACATAATAATACTCTACATTATGTGGTTTGAGTTTTACTTAAAATAATAGGTAATGTCACGAGCGTGCTATTATAAGTACGTACCTATATATTAATATTATTATATATTATACATAAATTCATACTTGTACCTTTAGGTACAAAAGGGCACTATATGTATTATACTATTATTACAATATGATTATTATACAAATTAACTGAATAATGCACCTACGTGTGACCGAACTGAATAAATTATTTTTGGCGTAAAAACACGGATAAAAGTGTCTCCTAAATGAAACAATAATTGAAGCCCTTAAACACGTCGTGCAGACAAAAGTGGTTGAAATACAAAAGATAAATGTCATTGACGTGCGTGTATACCTGAGTATACCCTGAAGGCCTGAAGTAAGTATAGCGTGTGATTAAAAACGCAACCAATATTGTATGAATTTGATTTCATCGCCAACTGAATATCATTTTCTGTACATTTAGAAAAATTAGTACAAAACAATTTAAAGTATATGAAGCCATTGGAGTGTTTGCATGCATCTAATTATTTTGCACTGTTTTGTATTATTTTGTATAACACTGTCGTATTACGTCACAATTGTTAACATCAATAAAAATAACATTTTTCGTTCGGGTAGGTACCTATAAAAAGTCAGTATAGGTCATGAATTTAAAAACATTGTAGTTTTTTTATTGAAGACATTTTTTAGCGATATGAAAATGTTGATACCTGACAGTATAAGCCATCATAAATAAAATATGTCATAAACGCAATTTTCAAATTACTTACATTTAGTAAAGTAAAGTGTTATGAGAATCCTTAATTATTGTTCACATTATAGTTAACTATAGGTACTGTAGTATATTTAAGCATATAACAAGATCGATATTTTATGATATTATTATAGATATTTTTTATTAGATTGGTAAATAATTTAGCTTTTCTATTTCTGGTTACTCATAAATAACTTAAACATAATTAACTTTAGCACAAATTACTGAAATATACTACTTATACAAGTGCAAAAAATGAAACGTGACAATTCATATTTTTACTTTACGAATCCTTTAAACAGGCCAGATATACCTACAGTTGAGACACCATTATTATTATGTAATTTAAATGATATTTTAATTATTGTCATGTTAATTTTTGAATTGCCAAGGGTATGGTAGGTACACATAGGTATAATTATATACCTACCTGATACAAAGGAACGAATAAATTACTTAAACGAAATTCAGTATTTATATATACGCTCCTCTATATAGTTATAGGTAGGTAACTTATAAGAAATTAATATTATGTAAAATAAAATATAAAATAGTTTAACCGTTTAAGTGTAAGTACCTAAGCTATTAAGTAATTTACTGTCAATTTTTTTTTCGAATTGTAGTCATTGATTTGATAGAAATAATACCTCTGTTATATTATGTAGGTACTTGATGCACTGCAGTACCTAGGTTAAAATAATATACCTAGACTTACATTTTACATAATATTATAATTTATAACTATAATTACAATTTCCAACAATAATACAATACAACTATGCATAGAGAGATCGACGCTCAAATGGCTCTCGAACAGTCAAATGGGTTATACGGCTACTATATTACCTGCACTTTTGAATTTTAAGCTAGTAACGGCAATAAAAAACTACAAGTACGCTTTTAAAACTTTTGTTCATTGGAGAGGAAATGCTAAAATTATACTCCATGGAATCTATAAGCACTGTCAGTCGTAAACTGGGAGTCACGAGACATAAAATTTCAGTCATCTAACCTATCCTCCACCCCACGCCCC